TATCGTACCGATTCGTGAATATCAGCAATATTCGTTTGGTTCGTATCGAATCGGCCAGAGTGAGTGAGCACGATAGGGATATCATGTGATGAATGAAACAGAAACAGGCATTATCCATACAATTGTAAACCATATATTTAAGTCCATATGTCTGTAGATTATTCTTAGCGTATCAGCAGGATACAATTTAGGAAAGAATTTTCAACTTTCGACCCTAACTTGAATGCAGTATAGCCTATTTGCATCGTTGAATTTAATTTCACGCGCTTTGACCTTGAACTAGAATTTTTGGACAAGTGTTTATAAATACTTAAAAGTTTTGTGTGTTTGATTTCTAAAGTACACATTTTTCTATTTTTAGTTGAATCCAAATAATTGAGTTTATTTCTTGTGTTTGTATTAAACTTTTGAAATCTACACTCTTTTGGTATATTTTGTAATTTTAAATTAAGACACAAAATACTAAAAACTGAAAATAATGTAGCCAGTCCTAAGCATGATAAAAGCATGAAGGAAAGTTTTTTTTGATATTTTTATTTTCATGTTCTTTTTATTACTTTAAAATCATATTATAAATTGATATCAGAAAACCAACCGTATAACGTTGACTTAAATCTATATCTACTACGATATTATATCAGCGTATCGTTTCAAATCTCAAATATCATGAATCGAGAAAATCTACTAGCATCCATCAATATATAGATTCAGAAAATATATAGATTCAATATCCGATATTGATACTCGATATATAGATACGATTCGATACGCGGCAAAACCGATATTACCCACTCCTAATAGACATAGCGCACCGGAGACAAGTTCGAAAGATGTAGTGCTGAAGAACAAGAGGGAATGCAAAGTTACTGACGAGGACGTCGAAGGCAGAGCGAAGTGGAGAAGTAGACTAAGAAAAACTGACCCCACCACCATGTGGGAAGAATAGCTAGGAAGAAGTCACAGCGTCACAGATTCAATCAACTATCTACTATCTACCTTAATGATATGTATTCAATATGTATCTTTTTTTAAGGGATTTATGACCTGGTAACTAAACCTTTCGGTCAAGTCTTATTATAATTTATATTCTTAGTTTTATGAAAAATGATATTATGGTGTGAAATTAAATGAAACAAGATGAGATGATATGGGATGAAACATAATCTCAGTAAAATGGTGGTCATTTACTGAGATTTTTTCAGTGGACTTTTTTGCAGATCCCGAGAAGTAACGTTCAGCGGCATTGTTCATTTTTCCACATTTTTGCACTTTCACCGATACTTAACAGTTAATAAACTACCGTTATTACACATTTAGACCTGAAGAAACACTAAATAGAAAAAAAAAAACAAATCACACAACTTCACTCCTCGCGTTCCCACTAAAAAGTCGTTTAGGTATCTCGTGTGAACATAGATAATATACTTTTCAAACCAAGATTAATTTATTAGACGAACGACGACGATGAATCATGGAGATTAGAGGTAAGGAGCACCATCTTGTAGAGATATAGAAGTTTTACACTGAGTGAAGTGTGCAGGATTGCAGTGAAGGCTATGTTCCGATTTACACTGCGAGCACTGTTCAGTGCTCGTACTGCGGAGATATTCGTTACGTTAAGGACAGACAGTATCATCATGGTTCCAAGCCGGTTTCGACCACGGCGACCGAAATTTTCCGTTCAATAACATAAAAGCTAATGTCGGCGCCTCTCATGCGCTCTAATATGGCTATGGTAGCCTATCTTGTTCTTAAACGTGCGCAAACAGAAGCTACACGTAAGAACTCCACCCACGAAGTTGTAAAAATGGTGGAAGGCGGTCTATTTTTCAATTTATTTCGTCTGTCGTCCAGTTCACGCCTCCTGTCGTTTTCAAAGACATGCACGCCCTGCCAAGCGTCTCCACTCCAAACGATTCTGTGCTTGACCTTCCCAACGAGAGGTGTCAATGTTGCATTTCTTCATATGCCTCTTCTGAACATCCTTATACCTTAAGAATTGGCCGCCACTTTTTCGCTTGCCAGTCTGGAGTTCAGAGTAAAAGATGCGCTTTGTTATCCTCTCGTCGGACATCCTCATCACATGGCCGCACCAGCGCAACTGACGCCGCATTAAATATGCCTCTATACCGCCAATACCGGCTCTTCTTAAAACCTCCGTATTCCTGACACGATGTGACCACGATATGTTCATTATCTCTCGGAGATATTTAAGGTGAAATCTATCCAACATGCGTATATGTTTACGATACAAACACCATGTTTCTGAGGAGTATAGCAGATTAGGCAACACAATTGACGTGTACACTTTTATTTTAGTGTTTAGAGAAAGGTCATGAGAACGAAACACCTTATCCCGGAGCTTCCCAAATGCCGCCGAAGCAGCACCAATCCGAGCATTTATCTCCGCATCGAGGTCTCCTTTATTTGTTATCACGCTATCAAGGTACCTGACCTTATCAACCTGTTTAAGCACACAATCATCGACAGATACAGCAAGCTCCGTGCGGTCCATAGTCATGACTTCTGTCTTAGTGATGTTAATCTTCAAGCCAAATTTCTGACAGGCACTATTAAGATTGGTCATAAGTTCCTGAAGACCAACTGGGCTGTCAGAAACAAAGCAAAGATCATCGGCATACACAATCTCCGTGATGATTTCAAGTGAACACCTGGAGCAAGCTCTCAGTCTTCCAATATTGAAAATATTCCCGCAATTTGGTTTTCGGCCAGGTCGGGGAACTTGCGATGCTACAGACAGTATACAGTCGCAGTAACTTAAGGAAGGCGGTAGTTCTTTTTGACGTTCAACAAGTGTGCACTTTCATTTATGTTGAATAAAAAAAAATTTGATTTCATTTGATTTGATTTCAAAGACATCATTTCATAAATCTTTACTTCATCACTTTTATCGTGCATAACCTCAATTCAATAATACGGTTATTAAGTTATTATAGACTAGCGGCCCGCTCCGGCTCCGCTCGGGTCATTAACAAAAATTTCAAAGATGTTTTATTTTTAAAAATAAAAGAACACTTATTGCGGCTTAACTATAATAGTCAGACATATGCTGTCGCGACACTTTTTGTAAATAACAATGTGTTCTACAAAGTCCTAGTACATTATTTTATTCTATCATTAAAACTTTTCGCAGGGCACGCGATGTAATACTTTTAGCGATTTATTCAACTGACAAGAACTTGAATATTCTATTTCCAAATATAACTAAAACAATATTTTTTTTGTTGAAGTGAAAACACCGCCATGGCAACGTCGATGACAGTATACTGTACTGTAAAGAAACGGCTTCACAGTATACTAATTTGATGTAACACCTTACAGTGCTCGCAGTGTAAATCGGAATAAACCAGAAGTGTGGTAGTTTATGGCGCTGTTTTTAAAATCTTTCCACGGCGCCGTCTTAATTTGCATCCCTTCAGTGGACACTTTTTAATATACTGAGATGGTTCTCCTTACCCTCTACCCTCCATGCGACGAACAACGAATTTTATAGAGGAACTATAAATATGTTTTGTTTGGTCTGTCCAAAAGATACTTAAAGACAGACGAAGAGAATATAACTCATACATCCAAGTAATTAAAATAATAATCTGAAGCTATTTCATTATTGAAAAGTAATTTCATGAGTATCCAGGATAATACCAACTGTCATTAAAGAAATATGTATATGATAAAAAAAACCTTTCTGAATATTTGAAATGTAACGAAATTAAGTAGTAGGTTTCCGTTTTTGTGCCATGCTTGAGGTTTTTACGCGAGAACGGATTGAGTGCAGTTTGCATTTCATTTCATCTCATCAACACTTACTATGTTGTCCTCTCTCATGTCTTTAATTTTATTTCATTATGAATTTAGTTTCAGGTGGTTTAATTTCTCATTTCTTACAACTGATAAAGCTACAGTCTTTGTTATCAAAAATTTACTTTCCACGTTCCATTAGATTGTCCGATAGACGAATTTGCTTATTTTTTTCCTCGGATGGCAGCTTTTGCGATATCATTGTTGTCGGTGTTTTGAGTTCTCCTTCAATCATTAAAATAATAATATATACATGCATTTGAAACTGTAACCAATTAGTATGAAATGAAAAGAGATGAGATGACATTTCAAAAAGTCTGATGGAGGAATTAATCGAACGACACCACAAAAAAAAAACTGGTGAATAGCTTTTCAGATGTGGATTCTCAGGTTCCTCCAAAAAAGTAACGATTTCAATAAATCCCATATTTTTAGTCAGACACTATTCTATTTCGATGCCTCCAATGAACAGTACGCTAACTCCAAATTCGTAGGTTTACAGGAGGAGCGTTTAAACGAAAAAAGTTGATAAAATCTTTATTATTGCACATATATGGTTTTTTTTTGTAACTAGCTGATTTACTCTTGCTTCGAACCCCCAATCAATAATGATTTGTAATACTATTAAGTGTATAATCTATGGTAGGTACGGTAGGTATTATTATACCTCTTGGGGACTTTTTGGCGGGAATGCGAGGAGTGAAGTTGTGTGATTTGTTTTATTTTGTCTATTTAGTGTTTCTTCGGGTTTAAATGTGTAATAGTGGTAGTTTATTAACTGTTTAATATCTATGAAAGTGCACAAATGTGGGAAAATGAAACAAAGCCGCTGGACGTAACTTCTCGGGATCCTACAAAAAATCCACTGAAAAAATCTTAGTAGATGACCACCATTTTACTGAGATTATATTTCATCCCATATCATTTCATTTAATTTCATCCCAGTATATTAATATCTCAAATTAATCATCTTCATTTCATTTCATTTCACTCCATATGATCTTTGTTCATAAAAGTAAGAATATAAATTAAAATAAGACATGACTTAAAGATCTTAGTTACCAGGTCATAAAATCCCTTATAAAAATATCATACTCTTTGACGGTGGACTTCATATTTCATAGCTGTCAAAAAAAAGCTATTTGCAACTGCTACACTCTGCATCGCTCATCACTAGTACAATATATTGGTTTTATTTTCTTTTAGTATTTTTGGTATGTTTGACGTGCGTTACCTATCACTGTACCCACAACGGAGATGCTGGGCTGGTTAAAGAACTTTATAAAATGATATCCTAGTCAAAGGTGTTTCAAAGCGTTGCTTATTATTTCTATATGGAGCTGAAGGTCTGGGTCGAGGGAATACAAAGAATCGTCTGTGGGGTCACCGAGACAACAACTTGTCAGGTCAGAGCTTCTTCTCCTTTTATATCTTTATAAAACGCACGCATGTGTCCCAATTCTAATTATAAATTTTAAAGGTGATGAATACTTAACTTCAGACTCGTTTTTTTTACACAGGATGTAGTTTTCGCGTTAGCACACGCCACTGGTAAAGTCGGCAGATTCACTCTCATAGAACGATGGCGAAACAACGAGAGACTTCTGGCACCCCAAGAATTCCCACTGAAGGTGACAGTCACAGTTTATGTTTCAAAAAGCTCCATAAATATCACTGATAAATTTATGATAATAGCTGTAATGTTTTCTATAATAATTTTCAACTGCAGATTTTGATGAAGTGGGGAGAATACTCAAATGATATTCAATTTATATTGAGGAGATCTGAACCAGGCAGCAGCTCGAAGCCTTCACCACCACAGTTGAACTCCAGGTCTATTGGGAATAGGTTAGTAGTTTTATTATGTTGAGAATAAATATGAATGCTGATATTTTAAAATGACACAACCCGTCTGGTGTTAAGTAGATACTGGTACCTGCACCATTAAAATGTGAATGGTGTCCCCCAGCTTGTGGCATAAGGCCGATGTATTGTGTAGCTGCTGTCCTAACCTTAAAACAATAATGCTTGATTATTTTGTGAAAGAAGTGGGTAGTGGATATCTTGGTATAAAGTAAATTTTGGCTGTGTTGCTGGAACTGTTGTCTCGAGGAAACAAGTATTGATTTCTATGTACATTGAATTATTTCTATATTAATTTATTTAACAATTTTAAGTTATATACATATCATAATTATTATAAATATATTATGAATTATTTAAATACATTTTATTACTATTTACAAAAAAATAAAGTCTAATACACGTAAAATATATATAAATAAATTTTCAATAATAAATATTCAACGCAGATTTAAAAGCATGTATTGAGTAACGTGTCAGTTCAGTGTTGCGTTTATTTTTGTACACCAGCATTTAATACTCTTTTTAATAAGTTTTTATTTATGAAAAGGAAAATAAGTACCAATACTTACAACAACAACTTAATTGCAGCAGTCACAACACTTCTAATCCAAATATGCTGGAGAACAGAATTTCTCCAAATAGAATAAATGCTATACCAAATTACAATAATAATGTCAACAACACTTCTCCTGGAAATCCTGTAGGAGTTGTAAAAGGGATTCAGCAATCAAAAACACTGGAATCTGATAGCACAGGATCAAAAGATGTACCCCCTTACAGGCAAGTTGAGCTTATAAATATTTGAGGATCTCTATTATTTATAGATGTCCCAAGTTTTTTTATTGCTACTGTTGGCATCATATGAATATAACTGTAGTCAGTGGTTCATCATTCAACACTCATCACTATTCACTCATGACAATACTAGGGGCACAATCAAGCCAAGGTTACCAAAGAGCACTTTTCAAGGCTGGTTTTAACAGCATGTTATGCTAATGTTATTTTAAGAGTTTTTATGAAAATAATTGTCATCCAAAAAGGGGCTTTTTGAAAATTTTTGTCACTTAAAATTTGGACAGCTTCAACTCTTAGTTTGTAAAATCAGCAATTTTATATCTAAATATTTTCTAAACAGAGTGATAGAACCTTTTATTACATTTTTATTTATTATTCATTTTCTCCATTATCTACATTATTAGTCTTAATAGTTTAATGAATATTGAAACATATTTGATAACTAAGATATCTGTTTCTGCAAAGGATCTGAGTTTAACTGCGAAGATCAAATATTAAAGGAAAAGAAATTAGTTTATTGTTCTGATATGAAAACATATAATTAATTTGTTTTTGAATTAAATAGGGAACCGCCCCCACCATATCGTTCTCCCCCACCTCCAACTCAAGCTCTCCAAAAATCTCCAAATCGTATGAGAGTTCTACAAGGCCCTCATATGTCACCTGTGAACTTAACTGAAGAATCCACCGAGAATCGAAGCCCTGAAGCAGTTAGTTACAACACACAGTACAGGGAACTTGTGTCGCTTGTTAACTATCAGAGAGAAAAGCTCTCTAGTCAGCAGGTTGATCTTATTAAGGTTAGTAGGTTAAGAGCTTATATAATACAGCACCTGTTTGGAAAAATCTATTGTAATTATTAATCCACATAACATATTTCATATCATGATTATGATTGTAAAAAAACATAATCCTTTGGTCTAAATGCTCCTTCATAGATTTAGAAAGAAAACATACAAGAAAAATCATGTTATAACATGGAATGGAAAAAGTGTATGCACATTTTTCAAAATAAAATAGAGTTTTAATTGAAGGCTCTGTTGAGACATACTTATTACCTTTTTTATTATTAAATGTTACATGGTTACAGTCTCTTCAAGTATTAATCACAAGATATGTATACGATGTCCTAATCTCTTTCTAGATACCACTGTCACTCACTTTTTTAATTAGCATTAATTTTTGTATTGCTGATCCCAGACCTGATTCCAAGAAGAGTTGTGTTTCTAAAGCATTAATTAGATAATAGTCAATGCCATCTAGCATTATTAGGACAAGAAGAAGTATAAGTATAAGTCATTCAGTTTGTTTTTCTTCTATTGTGCCAATTTAGTAAAACCAGTGAAAGATGAACCAATAAATTTACAGTATGATGCGGAAATTGGTTACTGGGAGAATAAAGGCAGAGAACAAGAACGTCAGGTTGAACTTTTGCAACAACAGATCAGCTCAGCTGACAATCAGCTGAGAATTAGTACAGAACAGGNGGACAAGAAGAAGTATAAGTCATTCAGTTTGTTTTTCTTCTATTGTGCCAATTTAGTAAAACCAGTGAAAGATGAACCAATAAATTTACAGTATGATGCGGAAATTGGTTACTGGGAGAATAAAGGCAGAGAACAAGAACGTCAGGTTGAACTTTTGCAACAACAGATCAGCTCAGCTGACAATCAGCTGAGAATTAGTACAGAACAGGTACATGAGTCGTCTATTATCAAAGGTGGCAATCTGTGCATTTGGACAAAAAAATGTTATTGTTATGTCAATACAGATTGATTTGAATATAATTGTCTCCTTCAAAGAATACGGTTCAAAACCTGCATTAAATAAAGGTTAATAGTTAACCTGTTATTTATCTAAGATGTCGTTCCGAAGAGTTTTGTGACTGCCAATGGAATACAAAGTCAATAATTCGTTTTTCTGATTTACCAATAATTGTCCAAAAGTCAGATTGCCGGCTTTGATAATAGTCGACTCACATATAGTCTGTGAATTAATTATGCAATTTCGAAAGGGCACATGTCGCATATTTTGTCAAATACATTTTTAACTATTAATTCTTGTTTTTGTATTCAATATCGTAAATTTCGAAAAGAGATATGCCCTTATAGGATATGTCTCACAAATATAAAATATCTAATTAAATGTATATACTGACTTATAAGATAATAATTCCAGTAATTTTCAATTGCTAATTAACACTAAAATGTATCTCAAAAGTTAATATTTTAAATTTTACACTGCTTTAGAAAATAATCAGTTTTTTTTTCAACATTTTACATTTTCAGATATGTGCCCTTTTCGAAATTCCATATTCAATTGTAAATGAAATAAATTTTGTTATAAACTTAAATATCATCACAGCATTCATAGAGTTCTATTTTAAGATATTTTATTTACTCTACCATAATTAACTTCATTGAATGACTCACTGGTCAACAGACAAACCTGTGTTTCATTATTTAAAGACTTGGTATGGGCAAAATCAGAGTGCATGATTATTATTATCCATCATTAATTTCATATGCAAAATAAATGCAATACCCCCCTAGTATGCATATTTTTAAACATCTGAAACGTTTTCATTTCAATGATAATATGAAAATATGATAATAGCAATAATGTAATACGTAACACCCTGGTTATTTAATTTTCAACTTCAGGTACAGGCATTAACTTTTGTGGAAGAAGAAAGTGAGGTAGTCAAACAAAACGAAAAGACTTTAAGATCTGAGATAGTGTTGATGCGCTCTAAGCTTGCCAACTGTGAGACAGAACTTTTGCAATGTAAGAATAAAATAAGAAAATTAATGGAGGAAATACACAATGAACAAAGGATTATCAGTAGTCGACAGCAGGAAAACAGGTCAGAGTGAGAGATTATTAGCCTTAAGGTTTAATGAAATTTTTTTATCGACAAATTTTTACTGATGTGCTCAGATATGTGGATGATATGTTATGTAATATTACCATTTGGGTCTATAAATTGTCTTTGACATTTTTCCAGCTGTGTATGTATAATAATATATGTATTGAGTACCAAAGAATTTTAAATCATTAAGTTAAATTATTTCTTTGCATGTGAATTTTTTTAATTAAGTTTCTTTTTCCTGCTTCTGCAAGAAACGGTAACATACAAACATCCTTATGAATTTAAATACATATTTATATTATGCGTAATAAAATATGTCTCCATAGTAGATTGTGCAAAGTGAACAAAATAAATTTTGATAATACTATCATGTGGATTGTAGGCACGTGATATTTCATTGTCTGATTGTGTAGAACATTGTAATACATAAATAAATTCGCAATATTTGAAAAATAATTCGTAACATATTAGCGATTAACGCTAATATGTAGCCTTGTAATNATTTATATTATGCGTAATAAAATATGTCTCCATAGTAGATTGTGCAAAGTGAACAAAATAAATTTTGATAATACTATCATGTGGATTGTAGGCACGTGATATTTCATTGTCTGATTGTGTAGAACATTGTAATACATAAATAAATTCGCAATATTTGAAAAATAATTCGTAACATATTAGCGATTAACGCTAATATGTAGCCTTGTAATTAAATCACACTATTAACGGATCGCCCGCCTGGGAATAGGTAGGTGAGGGCGGACTGTTGTCTAAGAGTTTAGGGGGTGAACATTGGGAGGGACTGGCAGAGAGCTCAAGTGACTTAAAGCGCTCGCTGTGTGCAGTTCGTTTAGTTGTTACGAACGCCCCGAAGAAAAAAAACATACGAAATTAGTCAAATCAATCCCGCGAATAATGTAAAAGGAATATTCTTTGAAAGTGAAAATAATAGATATCTGAACATTAGCTGGAATTCAAATACAATAAAATACGCGTACAGAATTTTGCCCACAAAATATTAATATTAGTGAAGTCATTAATTGTATTTTTTTTATATTAATGGAAATGTCAATTAATAAATCAAAACAATTAACTATACTTGTGTTCATGCCTCCCACATCCACATTTTAATGCGCGGGTAATCCCTCAATTCTGTGATTTAGTTACTTTTTGTTTAGCGCGACAATGTACGCACATGCTGCGTGTCACATAATGCCTAAGATAACTGTCTCTCTCTTTCTAAGAAAATGTCAATTGAGACTTAGGTTGAATTAATAGTGAAATAAATTGAGAACTTTATTACAGACAAGCACTGGAGCGGTCAATGTTGGCTGAAATGGAAAACTTACAGAGTCAAATACAACAAGCTAAGCATGCTACAGAAATCAACCACCTAACTGCAGAGAATCTCAAACGAGAGGTCTGATCAACTTTTCAAATTATAAAAACTTTTAAATTTTGTTTAAATTTGTATATTGTATGAAAAATTATGATTATCTATATATTAATACGTGAATTAAAAATTTGTACCCCTTTTTACGAATATTGCGCGGACGGAGGAGCATGATATTTTCCACACTTATAGAGAATATACAGGAGGAGTGCAGAATGTTAATATTTTCTTAAATTATGCATAAAAAATACATTAATTTAATTTAAAAAAACTACTACACACTGCCATGTATTTGACACACACACCCACACGCATGCATAATATTTGTTTATTGTCAAACTTTCGTTATTCCTGAAAGTCTGTGGTCAAATTGACAATAGATTAATATTGTTTGTCTTTATTAATATTTGTCTAAAGTGTAGTCTTGGTGAATTCTCGAAGTATAATAAGTCTTTGACAATAGAATCATAATAATGTACAAACTTATAATTTCAATTAATTATAGTCGAATTTCGACTACCAAGGGACCACTATTATTATTATTTTGTTATAGGTGGGCGTCTTAGAAAATGCTATAATGGAGAAAAAGAGGCAAGTAGAGCGTTTAGTTCAAGAAATGAAAGAGGCAAATCTTCAAAGTTTAACCGGCAGCGTGGATGAGCTACGACACCCGTTAGATGGTACGCTTTCTTCGTCCTCCTGTTTTCAAACTCTCATCGATATTTATAGAAAACTAAACGAAAGTGCCTACCACACACACAGCATCACATTGTTGCGAGTTAACCCGGGTTCGCCACAGTCTATGAAGTCTGACCGGCCTTTGACCACGACCTTTTTCGCACGTGATCCACTTTTCATCACCAGTTATTAGCTTCTTCGGTTCGGTTTCATTACGTCGTAATAAAGAATCACAAATGAGTACACAGTTCATTAGGTTTCTTTCAGTGAGCTCGTGAGGTACCCAAATATCGAGCTTTTTTGTGTACCCAGTTTTTTTCAAATGCGCCAAAACTGTTTTGTGGTCAATTCCCAGTTCTTCAGCTACGTTGTAACTAATGATATACCGATCTTGCTCCACTTTTTTAAAAAATGGCATCCATCTTATCCGTAATAAGGCGACCAGAGCGATGTGCATATTTGACATCAAAATTTCCGGATTGAAAACGCTTAAACTAAATTTATGCTACACTTACAGACACTGCACTAGGTCCGTAAATATCGCGGATTTTTTTCGCGGGGTGCCTTTTTACCTTTCTACACACATTTTTCTAATTTAAATTAGGAATTATCTTGTTTAAAATTTAAACTTAATGATACCAAAACCGGCCAGATACAAATAGTATAGCCAAAGAGATTTTATTACAAGTTCATACCTACATACTATAATGCGAAAATACTTTTTCCCCAACCTATTAGCAAAATAAATAATGTGTTTTTTAAAATTCTTCATTAAAATAAAATATAAGATAGTCAATATGCTACTGCCATGTATAGGAGCAATGAGAAACTAATAACAAGTCATGTAGTGACCGACGACCGTAAACTGAATGTGTATAAGAGACCAAGCTCGCTTTCTCCCTCTTTCCAAAGTCGACTGGTTCGGGAGACGCTGTCTATTTTCTCATGTTCATTCTTCCTAAATTTTTTTTTCTCTAGCCGTAACGAATCTGTCGCGAGTTAAATTTTACTCTCGACGCGTCTAAAGAAGTTTCACTTCAAAAAGCATTTATGTACGAATAACGTACCTACTGATATCAAAATTTATTGTGCATTTTTTGCAAATTAAGCTTAATTATATTTTATTTACACTTGATTTAACTTACATTGACTCACGGTCCTCTCGCGTAAAACACATTATAAAATTTGTTTACTAGGGTTTTTTTTTTAAATATTAATATTTTTATTCTCAGGACTTTGCAAAGCTGGTAGCGCTCGTAGAATTATAGGATCTCCGAGGCAGCTTGAAAATGCAGCGCCTACAAACAAAAATCCACATGGTGTATGGGTGTAAATCATATCAGTATCAGTAAAATACAATGTCGCCATAACGACAACCAGCATAATATATAAACTCGAAATGATATTCAATACTTAAATCTTACCTTTTTCGTGTTTTTACGCATGCAAATTGTTCATAAATTATGAACAGCAGCCTACTGGTTAAGCGAAATATTTAAAAAAAGTTACATATACAGCATTATTTTTGTTAAAAACCGTATTTAGTAGCCAATTTAACAATTTATTTAGTTTATTTTATTAGTACTTGTGTTCAAATATGTGTCATATTTAAAGAGTATTGTCACAAATTATGTGTGTTAGTTTATATTGTCGAGTTTAGCAAGTTTTAATAATATGATAAAAAGTACTTACGGTTTGATCTCACATTTACTACTTATTTTGCACCCTATGATGTAAAATACTTTCACAGTTGTTCCGTGGTGGCGTCACACCAGAGAATGATTTCATGTTAAAAAAATTATATCGCGTCCCCTACATGAAACTTGAATAAACTAAGTTGGAACCGTATTTTTTAAACCATTTACGTTGGCTTCATTTGAGTGTAAATAAGAGTTTATAATATTGAGCTCATTTTTTTAATTTTTAACCTCATTTTTTCAACTCTACTGAAGCAGTTTCAAAGAGAACGAAGAAGACTTGGGGGGGGGGATGTCTCAAAACGCGCAGTAATTAAAGTTTTTTTTTTACTGTGATCAAAATCATTTTTTGACATAAAAAATGGCTGATTTACATTAATTTAAGTTATTATCCAAATATTATAGGCCGCCTTACCAAATATGACTTTTTTTTTGCAGTTTGAGTAAGTTTAGTGAAACTTTATTTTCCAAAAAATCCCAAACATCATAAATGTATGGTAAACCACATTATAATAAACTCATTTAAAGTTATTTTTGCAGTATTGTAGATAATATAGCAACTGTGCAAATCATTTTCAGGTACCCTAAAGCTATAAATAAAAGTTCTTATTAACATTGAAAGTATTATACCATCTTGCCCTATTGTTTATATTTTATTGATTGTTTTAAAGTTAATGTGGGGTAGTGAGTAATAAACGAATGATGTAAAATTAATACCTTTATAATTTTACATCTAATATTACAAAATGTATATTTATGAACCATTTTTATACAATGCATTTATTTGTTAAAATTGGTTAAAGATAAAAAAAAAAATTGAACCGCAAATGTACGATATAGCGGTCATATTTGACAAAAAAATAACCTTTTATCACTTTATATTTAAGCTAAATTGAATATGTATTAAGATTTCGTTTTAATACTTTTTTAGCATTTTCCATGTATTGTGTTGAAACATTAGTTAGGCGTGTGTTATTTGACCGTGATATATTGGTACTAATTAGAGGAATGTTATCCAGTTTATTAATTTATATCCAATAAGTGTACTATATTTTATAATTGCAATATAGCAATAATTTTAATTGATCTAGTCGAAAATATTAGCCATTACAATATTGTATAAAATCGATTACTTATTAAGGAGTATTGAAACGGCATTTATGTTAATCAAATATTCAGCATGTATTATTCTCATTACTTAACTGTACGGAATGAATTAATGGTGTTTAGATGAATTGTATACCTACTTCGTGTTTAAAATAAAGTTTAAATCACTCTATGGTTTTTTTTTTGCAATAAAACAATGAATATTTCTCAATCCTTATACTCAACATAACTTAATAAAATAGTAGGAAATTACATCTGTAACAGCTAATATAAAATTCTCTATACAACAGTTGCAGATAATGCTTAGAGATGATTTGTTTTAAAATTTAACAAATTTAATACATTTCTATTGTAAAGATTATTTTAATTAAAATTATAACTGCGATTTTGTAAGTGTAGTAATTATTTTTTACTATGGTGTTTTAAAAAACAAGCTAATGTTTTTAGAAATCAGTAGAGCTTCGCTCAATTGTTTAAGACGCACAAATTAGTTTTGAAATTAATCTTTAATGTAATCCGACATTCCAAAAATAACTTTTTATTTTCCCGTATTCTTAAAACTAAAACCACCTTCATGATTTTTTTATCAGTTTATAATTTTTTTGTTCTCATGAAAAATTATGTGCGTCAACTCTTAATGACCCTGGATCACAGAGCACATCTAGGCAAGTTTTTTGTGCTTAATATAAATAATAAAATACGCTGCCCAAAACTGAAAAGTTAACATAATATATCGAAATTACAAAAATAATTGGCATCTATTTAACATTGTGAGATGAAATCCGATGTTAGTATTTCAGTCATTTATTATATATTATTCCTTGAGGTTAATTAACTGCTTTACGTAAATTAAGAACAACCGTTGTTATTCACATTAATAGGCACATTCTTAATCTGAATATGCCATAATAACAATTTGTCACAACTTGTATAAAATAATTTTAATCATCTCTTACAAAAGTGAAATCACATTTAAATACTTCAAGTGCTCTAGACGAATGTCTGTCAATCATGGATTCAAAACATGTGGGACATGATAACGTAAATATTACCTTTACAAGTTTTTAATTTTAAAAGGGGTTTGAAAATAAAATAATCCTCCGGAAAGCATACTCTTGTTTTTAATTATAATTCAGTATAGTACCTTAAAATAGGTACAGAACCAAAATCTTGATGAAATTAATATTCACTTATTTTGAATCCACATTAATGATTCTTTGAAGACTATGCTTTTTCTTCTTTCTCTCTGTTGTATCTTTCTAATTCTTTAAGAAATTGTCCCTTCGGCTTCATGACATTCGGTCTGTCGCCGCGACACTTGGGACAAAACCATTTCCCTTTAGGTTTAGTTGTGAGAGAAACGCACGAGAAGTGGAACCACTCTATAGGACATAAGTCGTTGTCGCAGAGAATCATCTCGCCAAATGAGATTTGGTCACAGAGACAGTAGCGAGGCTCATCGGGGTCGATGGCATCTGGCTCTTCCGGTGGAGTCTCCGAACGTTGCGTCGTTTGTCGGACTTTGCGTTTTTTCTTTTTACCTATACCTGGAACACAAACAAAGCAAATGTTATGTATTTTTATATTAACAAAATGTAAGATTTATTAGTTTGCTCAGTTTACCTTTCTTATGTGTTGTGTTGTGTGTGTGCCTCTCACTATCTCGTTCACTGGAATCTGCTCCATCAGTCATTGCACCTGCTGTTGTTCTTGATCTACGTGGTCTTTTTGACCACCGTTCACCTGAAATTAAGTGTGAAATGGATTACCATTGACTAAATCTATCATAACTGTTGTATTTTAGATTTTTTTTTTAATTTTTCATGTTATGATAAATTTTTTTATTGCCCTTATAGGCAGACGAGCGCACGGCCCACCTGATGGTGAGTGGTCACCGTCGCCCATGGACTTCAGCAATGCCAGGGGCAGAGCCAAGCCGCTGCCTACCGCTTGTGATAATATAGTAAAACTGCAATATGTAAATACAAAGAAGATGCAATTTATTACAGCAATAAATGTAGAATAGTTATAGTCTATATAAGAATATTATATAGAATAGGTTATTGCTGCATCGCCAACAGAAATATTTTATTTAGAAGCTGTCTTCTGATTGTATTTTTTGTTTGGTATACAATTGATTGCCTTCAAACTTTTGCAAAATCCTTACATCCTTACATCTCATATAAGGGTATTGTGAGATTAAACAAATTAGTAATACCACCTTGCTTAATCCCAGGGGATCATAAGGTTGTTAACCCATCTCAGTAAAAAAATATGGAGGGGAGTCTTTTTTACTGGTGGTGGGACCTCTTGTGAGTCCGCGCGGGTGGGTACCACCGCCTTGCCTATTTCTACCGTGAAGCAGTAATGCGTTTCGGTTTGAAGGGTGGGGCAGCCGTTGTAACTTACTTAAGACCTTAGAACTTATATCTCAAGGTGGGTGGCGCATTTACGTTGTGGATGTCTATGGGCTCCAGTAACCACTCAACACCAGGTGGGCTGTGAGCTCGTCCACCCATCTAAGCAATAAAAAAAAAAGTTTAATTAACTTGTAGATTTCTGTAATTCAAGGTATTTGAGTAGAATCAATATTGAATTTAATTAAAAATTAGTAATAATAAATTAAGAGATTATTAATAAATTATTCAGCATTTGATATCTACCACTGCCTTTTTCCTTCTCAACTTTTTCCTTTTCTTTCTCATTTGTTCTTTCTGGCGGAGGCGGTGGTGCTATGTTTTGATGAGGAGTTGTTAACACACTGGCTTCCTTCTCTGTCTTGGAGAGTACATCTTGAGTTGGAGTCACCTCTTCTTTTGTAGTGCCATTTGTTGTTACTTCTATACAAGATACTGTTGGTAGACCAATAACATATTATAATTAAATTGATTTACATTAAATAATTACATTTCTACATAACGCAAAATTTAACTTACATAATTTTTTGTGATCAGAATCAAGTGACCTTTGTTTGTTGTCGATGAGATCTTGTAATATTTGTACAACTTGTAGTTTCTCATCTCCTATCTCTTGTGCAGCAACTAAAACTGTTTGTAGGCGTAGTGCAGCTCTGGTTCGACGGCGTTCCTCTGTGCTTGATCCTATACAAATATTTAGATGCTTTTCTGCCTCACGCAAACATTCTGTTGAAAAAATAAATTTCAATTACAGAACAGCTTTGTTTCCTTCTTCTGTCTTGATTTTCAAATGACTGTAGAACTGTATATCATATTACATATGTAGATGATGTTGAGAAACATAATTTTATTAAAGAAATAATTAAAAAATACAAATCAGGATTAGTAATTTGACCGAGTTGAACTTCTATATTAAAAGGGATCTATTTAAATTTAAACTTCAGTTTTAAAGTTCAATCTAGTTAATTAATAAAAAAATCGATTAGTGAGCAAAAGTATCTAACAAATTAGGGGCATGAAGGCAAATTGCAATAACCTCTAAATGCACGAAAAGTGAAACAAACTGAAAATTATTGATAGAAATGTAATTTAAAAACTAAAACCTGGGCTATTTCGGTGCTAAGAACATAAAATATACAAAGGAATGCATACGTAATTAGGTTGAAAGAAAACGTCAACAAAGCTGTTTCGAAACAAATTTACATTTCAAACATATAAATTCAGAATTGAAAAGGGTTTATTAGTAATTGATTTGAAGAAATATAGTAACAAATGTGTGATTTACCCCTATATGTTACGTCAAGCTCCCGCATACGTGATAAATGTCTCTGAAGATCATTTGGAAGGTTTTCTACGCAATCTAAGTAGTTTTCAACATAAGCGGCTGAAAGCAAAGCTTCAGTCGAAGTTTGGTTTAACATTGCTATAGTCTAAATTGACCTTTCATAATAGTAATCAGATAAATTACACTAAAAACACTTCGAAAGCGAATAAGCAAAACAAGTTCACTATATTTAACAACTGAACAGTCCCGTCAAGCATCGTTTGCGTTCGGAAATGTTTCAAATGTTTGTTGATTGTTCCAGGCAGTGACACAAGCTGTTCAGAAACATACTCCCAACGCATACATACATCACAACTCAATAAAATCAAAATAAATTCTTGAAAATAAAAATGAAATTTTGATTCTAGTTAAATATTTAAAAGAATCATTTTTATTTTTTATTTTTTTTATTACTTTTATATATATATATTTATATATTTATAGTTTACTTATTATTTGTAAAAAGGTGATAAAAAGTATTTTCTTTTTGACACATTTGATTTAAATTATATTCATAGAGTTTGTATTGTTTTAGTAATGAAGAAGTTTTAATGAATATAATGAAATTTAAAAAAAAAACGATCATAACAAAGCAATAGGCTAAAATTAAAAGTTCCATTTATATAAAACTTATTTTCAGAATATTTATTCCTATTTTTTCAAATAATTCGGAACATGAGTAGTGAAGTTTTGTGAATTGTTTTAATTTGTTAATTTAGTTTTATTATTAACCGTTTAGCAACTCTGAAACTGCACAGGAGTAGTGATTCGTTGTAAGTAGCTTCCAAGGAAGGCACGACTTTTTTGATGAACCGTGTGGCGTTCAAGAATGCAACTTTTTATGATGCGTAAGCCGGAACGCACGAGATGTGGAAAAAGAAATATAGTCTGTGCCACGGGACCTTTTTACCGCCAAATATTTAAAACGTAAAAAATAATTTATAATGTGTTTAATAACTAATGTAATATAATTACTTAGAATTGTTTATGCCGCTACAACAATAAAATTTATATTGTTTCAACTGTGGTGTTAATTACATAAAACACGACTAAGGCGAAATAAAGAAGGGACTCTATAATGGACTCCCTCAACCGCATCCAAAAAGTCGTGCCTTTGTGAAATTCCCACCTGAGAACTATTTCATATCACCATAGGTAGCGTTGTTGTTGTTATCTTACCTCATACAATTCCATTCCATTTAATCTCAGAATGGATATTATTTAAATAATATTTATTATTTGGTTCCATTTTACCATACAGTACAATATATTTATACAATAGAAAACCCCCCGCCTGGCTGAGCTTTGCTCGCCCACCTTCCTAGTGAAAATGGAAAGGTCTCTGGGCAACCAGTAAACCGTAAATCATAAAAAAATATATACACTAAACATGGCTTGGGTCTTTGTTCTACAATATGGTTTTCGCTTTCTTTGCCTGGTCAATCAAACAAACGTTATTGCATATGTATGGAGGGCAGAAGTGTGGGTTATGGAGGGTTCCTCCATAGTGTGGAGTACCTAGCTGTAGCACAAGAAGTTCCAAATTTTTTTTACATGGAATTTTATGACCTGGTAACTAAGACCTTTAAGTGATGTCTTATTTTAATTTATATCTTATTTTTATGAAAAATGATGAAATGAAATGAAGATGGCTAATTTGAGACATTAATCAACTGGGATGAAATTAAATGAAATGAGATGACATGGGATGAAATACATATAATCTCAGTAAAATGTTGGTTATTTACTGAGATTTTTTCAGTTGACTTTTTGGAGGATCCCGGGAAGTTATGTCCAGCGGTTTTGTTTCATTTTCCCACATTTGTGCACTTTCACAGATATTAAACAGTTAATAAACCACCGTTATTACACAGTTAGAAACTGAAGAAACACCAAACAGACAAAATAAAACAAATCTCACAACTTCACTCCTCGCGTTCCCATCGCTCCTCGCATTCATCTCAGTTGATTAATGTCTCAAATTAATCATCTTCATTTCATTTCACTCCATATTATCATTTTTCATAAAAATAAGAAAATAAATGAAAATAAGACATGACTTAGTTAGTGATAAGACATGGTCTTAGTTATCCAGAACATGAATTTTTACATCTATTTTAAATCTGACATTTGAGTCGTCAATTATCAAAGGTGGCAATCTGTGCATTTGGACAAAAAAAATTTATTTATGTGTCAATACAGATTGATTTGAATATAATCGTCTCCTTCAAAGAATACGGTTCAAAACCTGCATTAAATAAAGGTTAATACTTAACCCGTTATTTATCTAAAATGTCGTTCCGAAGAGTTTTGTGACTGCCAATGGAATACAAAGTCAATAATTCGTTTTTCTGATTTACCAATCATTGTCCAAAAGTCAGATTGCCGGCTTTGATAATAGTCGACTCATTTATAAAATATACTTTTATTATTTTACTTTTTAAGAACTTTTGTTTTCTACTTTTTCAACTGCAATTCGGACTGTTTATTTATGTATTACTTTTTAAATGTTATATTGATTAAGCATTAAGAAATTATAAATACACACTTAATTAAAAAACTTCTGTTTTCATTTTATTATTATTTTGAAAAGTGCGCCATAACGAGACGGAAGTTCTTTTGTCCTTTTTTATTTCTCTATATTATTCTAATAACTTTCAGCGCCTTTTTTTAAATTAACCGGCTGCTACTGTAGCGCCACCCTTATTTAGCAGATTTTAACGGACACTTTTTCACACACAGAGAAGGTTCTCCTTACCTCTACCCTCCATACTCTCAGTGTATTAAAAGTGTCCGCTGTAAGGAAGCCAATCAAGGTGGCGCCATAGTAGCAAGTGGAAACATTTAAACAGCGCTTATAAACTATTACGTAGGGTAGTTTAATATTATCATAAATATTATGTATAAATTATTTGTGGTGTTTTATCTATGGTAGTAAATAGTTGGGGCTCAGTGTGTCTAGTGCGAGTTTTTTAACGTTCTCGATAGCGTAAAAGTTAATTTTAATTTGTATGGAGCTGGAACGTTTGCCTACGTTTGCCGCTAGGGGCGCTGTTCCAACTGCTTACGAGCTAACTTTTACGCTACATATTGAGAAGTTTGAGAACATTAAGAAACTCGCACTGAGCACACAGATTTATGATATAAAAAGAATTTACTTAAGTAGCTTATCGAAAAAAGTTTTCTTTTTTAACAAATCGTTTCTGTGTATAATGTTTATTACAAGGTTTGCGAATATTTTGAAGATTTTATTCCAAACATTGCCAAATAATATAATTAAAAAATCGGAAAACAATAACTTTGTCTTGTGAACTTAGTTAAAGAAGTTAGTTCACTTTAGAATCCTCTGTAGTGCCAATTTTCCTTTTTTTTAATCTTATTCCACTTAAGCTACCTTTTACACCTTAATGCATTTATAACTTGGCTAATAATTACAATTACAATTAAATAAGTACAGAGAGAGTGTTTAAGTAAAAGCTTTTGATTACAAGAGTACAAAGAGATACTGAAAATAGAAACTTATTTAATAATTATAGTGAATTCTAGATACTAGAATACAATACAATTCCAAAAGTTTTCGAACGCTTGAAAAAGTCTTCCGAACGTTTTCGAATTGTGGCAATTAAAGAGAATTAGTAACAAATATGATATCTTCTATTTTAGTTAACATTACTTTTTGATAGACTTTTTATTGAATGAACAAATATTCCTTTGCTTTTATCATAAACACTTTCAAGTGTTTTTTTTATAGCACATCTAGTGTGGATGAGTTCACGGCCCACCTGGTGTTAACTGGTTACAAGAGCACATAGACACTACAACGTACCTAAATGCCGCCACCTACCTTGAGATAATAGTTCGAAGGTCTCAGTTTTTAGAGTTTAAAGTGTATTGTTACTTAAAGGACAAAAATATTAGTTCTCATAATTTTAAAATACTTCGGTACCTTAATATACATTCTAAAATTAAGTCAATTAATTATTAGATTATATAATCTCATTTTATCCTTATCCACAAAGATCTACAAATCAGTATGTTTTTTAACTGAACAACATCAAACATTTAGATTATTATATTAATAAATTATCACAACCTGAAAACGATATCTTAATGTTAATAAAAAAATTAATAGAAAATAAATAATATGAATTTGAATCATGAAAAAAATATCAGTACACTACATTCCATCTCATTGCTCAGCTGCATGATATAAACTAACACAGGAAAAGCTAAGAACGGAGTAATATTTTCAGGAGTACATGAAATGCTTAAAGAACCATTTATTGCAGCTAGCTTTTAAAGAATCCTTTAGGGTCAATAAATCAGCGAATGTTCAAAACCTAATTGAGTTTTTATGATCTTTATCACGTTCCTACTCCTGGAATTTTGACTAATCATCCAAAATAATATTTAAGTACTACATATATAATTCAATATAGAGGAATATTGTTTATATCATAAATATCATTAACGACGAATGCTCAGGTTGAGCTTATACTCGTAGTCTAAAAATGGATGTATATTTATATTTTTTTATTTATGTTTATACAACAAATAAATGTAAATGATAATTAATATTTATTTACTAATAGTTAACCTTAAAAATTGTGAGCCCGAAATTTATAGTGAAGGAAATTTGCATGCGAGCAAGCGTTCTTTGCGTCGACCGATTGTGTTGCAAATGCGCGCAATACAATAAAGCATTATGGTTTTAGGAATCATCATCATCAACACTATTTGCTGTCATTATCGGAAACGGTTGGAATACATCCTCTGTACAGCTATACATGGTGTATCTGAATTACGAATAGCGCTGGTATTTATGACCATGTAACTGAATTAAAAAAGTGACAACATCTTCTTCTTTGTCGCTTCCTCATTACTGAGGGTCGTGACCACCTTGGTCCAGTTTTTGCACTAGCTTCCTCCAATGTTGCCTGCATTCGGCCTGCTTAATGGTGCCCGGGACGCTGGTGTTTGTGGCTTCCTTGACAATGTCCGTCCCCCTGGTTGGCAATCTTCCTCGATTTCTCTTTCCTTCCACGTGACCTACAACTATTAATTTTTCCAAGTTCTCAGGATTTTGTCGGGCCACGTGTCCGAAGTACTCGAGGAGACGCTGCATACAGATCGTATATAGACGGGTCTTGACGTTTAGCTCCGAGAGAATTGACACATTTGTTCGGCGCTCCGTCCATGATACGCCCAA